TATCATGCTCAAGGTAAAACTTGTAATTTTTTTATTGCAAACATGTTGCTGTCATGTTGCCGACAACATAATGTACCACTATTGCTCATCGTTTGCTCTTGAAATTTCATCAACTGATCACACGTATAAGCAGTTATGTTGCTGTATTCGTAATGTAATGTTTTTCAATGTCAACAAATGTATGGCAAATATGCAACAACTCAAGCAATGCATTAGTTTGCTCGATATGACGAATCACGCTTGGTTATCTGGGTACATACGTGCTAGTTTCATTTGAACAGCAAATTCGCTTTTTGTAGGATCTAGTGATAGTATATCGACTAACATTTGTTTTCGACGAACATCAACTTTGCATTAGGTAAGTAATAAATCCTTGATGTAATTTATTATATGTATTTTAGGACGATATAAATATGTGTAGAACTACAGCTAGGTTATTTTCTGAGCGTTTGTGGATAATTTAATTAAAACTGCAATCTTTACACGACCTTTTCAATTTCTTTCCTCACAATCATACATTCGAGATAGCAATTATACTGATTTAATAAATGCAACCATCGTAGACATCCCAGAATAATTAAGCTAACCTCATTTGAGTTTGAAACAATTACCTCAAGTATTTCAATATTAGCTGCAACCTGCAGCTGCGTCTGTGTCAAATGTATGTTTGGTTTCAATATAAATGCTGTCAGTACTCGTAGGTAATATTGACCTCTGTATTTTACTTTTACATATACAGAGTTTATATTACAGACAATATGGATGACCAAAAATATATGGTGTGCGAGTTTCCAAATGAAGAAAACAGTATAGCTATTGGATATTTGGAATGGCTGGAAGATGAATTTACAATTACTGAATTAGATGACATAATTAAATGCGAGACAATAGTGAAAGTTCGATGGCCAAAAGACTGTGATATAAGCCCAGCAATAACAGCTATGAAAAAAAAATTAGCCAATTGTCAGTGGGAGGTAGTTGCAACAAAATTACGAGCATATGGAGGTATATAATCAATGATATTGAACAATGAATTAAGAGTTATATATTTTGATCTTGTATACTTCTACAAAGACTCAATTAAGGCCTGTGGAAATATTATAGTACTTTGGTGTGGTAATAAGACAATATCGGTTTTTTAATGTGCAAAACAGATTATGTATTTGAGTGGAGTTTTGTGTAATTGCTCCTATACAGTTGTTTATAACAAAATACGAAGTGATGAAAATTTTAAAGTACTTCATAGTCATTAGAATTAACTAATACTAAAATCACCCACAGCAAAATTATTATAATTATAATTGTAGACATGCATAATTTTTTTTATTTTATTAAATGTTTATAAAAAAAATTCCTAATTTTAGTATATTCTGATCGGTGTCTATAGTACAATTTTTCATTAATTTTCCATTAAAGCAAACCAAATTCTTATCTAGAATTTATAGTTTTATCTGCAAAAGAATTTTAATTGCCAAACAATTACAATTATTTTTAATTTGAATAAGTTTACATAAAATTTTAGAATGGGTCAAAATGCGTGAAATCAGAGACAATTTGGAAAAGTATGGTATTACTGAACTTGATAAACATGATAGGAAACAGTTCACAAAAAAGCAAACAGAAGATTATGATAGTGCAGACGAATCGGAAGTAAAAGGAACAAAAAAGGGTGCGGCATCAAAACAAAAGGTATATGACATATACTATTTTACATAATTAAGTATGAATAATGATTTTAAATATTGTACGCTAAAAATTAATTTGCTATTAAATAATTAATGTTTTTTATTTATAGATTAAATGTACTCTAAACGTGAAAAAGGGGACAGAACTTTTAAAACAGTATAAACACAAGCAGAAATCGTCACAGGTTATTTTCTTAAATCTATATACATATATATATATATATATGTATATCTATTTAATGTTCTTCAGATTTTTTATTCAAAATATAACAAAATTTTGGGACATAACTTCATACTATTGTAGAGTAAATATGTGGACAGTGATAACGAATATGATAGAGAAAATGAAAAATCTCCAGTTCATAAACAATCAAAGTCGCAACTTAGTAGATACAGTCACTGTATTACAAGAAGAAAACAAGAGATTACGAAGAGACAATGAAAGACTGCGCAGATTACGATCTGTCAACGAAGGTATATTCTTGTTGAATATTTTTTTTCTCAATATTGACAAATTAAATTTCTGTTACACATGGAATGATTAGAAATCAATGGAAATTAGAATTATATACATAAATAACTGTAACAATTCTTGTCCTGGTCGAGTAATTTTAATAATGGTTAAAATAGGAGTCAAAGTTTTATTTCTTAAATTCATATATGAAAATAGCCTATAAGAGCCGACATGGATGTTGGTGTATTAAAATTCTTATTGTTACAATATCCACCACACTCGATATCTGCGCGTCGCTTGGTTTCTCAGCCTTGAAACACAACTCTTTGCGTGAAGTCGGAAACTTGTAACTTATAATTAAATTGGCAAACAATTTAATATCTTTCGATGCTATTATGCATCTATAAATTCTCCTCCTTCCAAGTCTGTAAAGAAATTTTTCCGAAAAATAACACCTTGGTTAAAGGAAGAGGAATTTATAGATGCATAATAGCATCGAAA